AAAACAATATTCCAAGCAAATGGTACTAGAAAAAAGCAGGGTTTGCAATTCTAATATCTGACAAAATAGACTTCAAGTTAAAACTAATCAGAAGAGATAAGGAGGGTCATTTCATTCTGATCAAAGGAACAGTTACCCAAGAAGATATTACAATCCTTAACATATATGCACCAAATTCTGGTGCACCCAAATTCATACAAACAACACTACAGGACTTTAAGACACAGATTAACCCCAAGTCAGGAATAGTAGGAGACTTCAACATCCCACTGTCTCCATTAGATGGGACAAGTGGACAAAGAATAAACAGAGAGACATCTGAATTAAATGATATCATACATGAAATGAACCTAACAGACATCTTTCGATTAGTCCACCCAAATACCAAAGAATACACTTTTTACTCAGCACCTCATTGAACTTTTTCAAAAATTGATCACATACTGGACCACAAAACAAACCTCAACAAATACAAAAATATTGAAATAATTCCATGCATTCTATAGGACCACAAAGCAATAAAGCTCAAAATCAACAGTGAATGAAGCCATAGTCACTACACAAAGTTGTAGCGATTGAACAACACACTCCTAAACAATGAGTGTGTCAAAGGAGAAATTAAGAATGAAATAAAAGAATTCCTGGAATTCGATGAAAAGGAAAATACAACACAATACAACCTCTAGGGCGCATTAAAAGCAGTCCTAAGAGCCAAGTTTATAGCTCTAACTGGAGAAAGGGGAACTCTCATTCATTGCTTGTGGGATTGCAAACTCGCGCAGCCTCTATGCAAAGCAGTGTGGAAAACTCTTTAAAAAAGAACCTACCATTTGACACAGTTATACCACTCCTTGGCATATACCCAATGGACTCATCCTATTGTAGCGACACTTGTACAACCATGTTTGTTGCTGCTCTTTTCACAATAGCTAAGAGATGGAAGCAACCTATGTGTCCCTCAACTGACAAGTGGTTAACAAAAGGTGGTATATTTACACAATAGAGTTCTATTCAGCAGTAAAGAAAGATGAAATAATGAAATTTGCAGGTAAATTGATGGATCTAGAAACTGTTATACTAAGTGAACACGGACTCAGAAAAACAAATGACCTATGTTCTCCCTCATATGTGGCTCCTAGCACCAGATTCTTTTAAATTCCAGGTACTTTTAATAAGATGATGCTGTACAGCAGTCCCTTCTGCATGAAATAACTACCATCATCACAACTTCTGCTGAACCTGATTCCTAAACATAGTCACAATTGGGCTTGTTGACAGTTGTGCTCATTCTTTAAAGGAGGGTC